AATTATAGTGATAGCGCTAGTGCAATACTAGAACTAACACTAGACCGAGGACTAGAAACATTCGGATTTGGCCGCACGTCTTTCAAGACGGCTAAACCCGAATGATTCTAGTTCTAGGTTTTGTAGTAATTCTAGTGATGGTGCTTGTATAAAACTAGAACCAGGACTAAGGTTCAGTTCCAGGATAGGATCGTTAATAAAATTCGTAAATATTTCTTCATGCCAATATTTCGCAATTATTGCTTCATCAGGACGTGATCTTTACTATAAACAAACAAGCGACAAATAGTAACTAACAATAAGTACAAAATTATCAAAAAACCTTACAATTGCAGGGAAAAAATTGTTCNAATCGTCAAAGCTTTATTTTTGAGGTTAACGACAAGATTTTTACAAAGAATTAAAGATAATATCTTGCTCTTTAAAATGGTATACCGAGAATTTCATATAACTCACAATATATGAATGCAGTAACCATAGTTACGAAACTACTATGTACTTGCACTGTCCCACATAAAATGCAACACAGCTTAATAGTATAGGCATTGAGTAAGTTTGTAAACGAAAAGTTTTGCTTGGAAATAGGATATACGGCTAAAGCCGAAAGTTTCTGGTTGTAAGTCTAGTGCTAGTTCTTCCTTTCGTTCAATAAAAGTAAACCACAATCTAACGCTAAGTAACAATTAAAATTAGAACTAACACTGGAGCTAGAACTAGAAATATTCGGGCTTAGCCGCACGTCTCTCAAGACGGCTAAATCCGCATGATTCTAGTTCTAGGTCTAGTGTTGGTTCTAGTGATAGTGCTAGTGATAGTGCCAGTGCTAGTGCTAGTGATAGTGCTAATGTAAAACTAGCACTAACACAAGCTCTCGAACTAGAATCATTCGGGTTTAGCCGTCTTGAGAGACGTGCGGCTAAACCCGAATGTTTTTAGTTCAAGGTCTAGTATTAGTTCTAGTTTTAGTGCAATAAAAATATGCAACATAGTGATATCTTATGTTAACTAACCCTACCTACCACTGTTACTAGAACTAACATTAGACCTAGAACTAGAAACATTCGGGTTTAGCCGAACGTCTCTCAAGACGGCTAAACCCGAATGATTCTAGTTCTAGGTCTTGTGTTAGTTCTAGTGATAGT